GATTTCTTATTTTCTGGTCGAGTGAAAAGTGTGTTCAATAGTTGTTGTTGCAAGGCTAACAACTTCTGCTGGTGCTGTAATATTAACCGCAACTGTTCTAAAGAAATCGCCATTTTTCTTTAGTTTTTCCCCGTTGCCACTGTTATAACTCTCTCTTTCTTCTTACGGTTATGACCCAGCTATTCCTATTGCTTAGTATTCTCGGACACCGATTCACTCGACAAGTCCCCAAATCAAAACACGGTTGAACAGGAAAGAGATTATATTCCAAATAGCAAGTCAGAAGCCAGTAGGAAGCACAATAGGGGAAAACGTCGGTATATTTATAGTTTTTACATAAGAAGATTCCAGAACATTCTCCGACTATCGACTAGTGCTGATTGGATAAGAATCAGCCAATCAGCGTGCACCAAAGCAATCATGCATTGAGCATGCTTTAATCTAGTCTATGTCCCGCTAACAGGTTGCTTCCGCAAGTTTTGATATTCTTTATCATTCATTACTACAGAATACATTTTTTATCTTTACTGCAGTTGAAGCGGATGAAAATAAAACAAATCCTACGGAAAACACGTTTATGAAACTTATTGATTTGAAACAACTTGCTGGTCCTGAACTACCTGCTGTTGGACAAGAGTATTTAGAAACTGTAAGAGCTTATGTAATATACATTATTATGCTTTTAATTACGTGTTTTCTGAATGTCTGGTTTAAAGTTAAGTAAAATAAAACACTGGAAGGTAGTACCAAACCTCAGCAGTTGACATGATTCGTACAGAACTGCTGCTTTCATCATGAAGTGCATTCTTAATTTGACTTGTGTGTCCCCATCCACCGTCTGTGTCGACATGTGATGACGACCAATGTTGGAGTAGATTGAAAAGAAGTTATGGGGGGCTAATGTCACACTCATTTTACGTTAACGTTATCTAAAGCTTGTTCGGTAACATATTCATTCTGTCAATGCTTATATTACACGTAATCAAACTACAAACGGGTATTGTTGGAAGTGTTCATATTTTCTATCAGTAGGGTACAAGTATTCATCTAGATTATGCACATGTACAAATACCCCTTGTGTACTGCTCAACAGTGTTTATCAATATAACAATCACATTTTAACCTTTAAACGTGATACTTCACATTATATACTAGTGTTCATAACAAAGGTATTATAATAAATCATAATTAACCAGATTCCATGTTCTAATGTGTCAATCAGATGATGAGTGGAACTCGGAAAGAGAATGTCGGACATTGTGTGCAACACATTCCTCCAGAATTGTACATTCTTCAATAGATGGATATTCAGTGTTTCCTACTCTTCAGTGAATGCATAATTGAAATCAGCTCATAATGTAAACTATGGTAACTCAACAATCTTCACAACTCTTTCCAACCATATCAGAAATATCAATGTCAACAAAAATGGTAGATGATTAAACAATAATGTTTTTTTTTAATTGTGATGATGTTGATGAGAGTGTTCCATCACAATGTCAATTGTGATATTTTAGTGGCCCGTGGATCTGACTCCTATTTAGATCGTATGGATGTTTGCTATCGCTGATTCTCGTATATCATCGTCGACTTAAATCGCGTTAGTCAATAACGGAATTAAATAAGTCAAATAACGAGAATTGACCTGTGCATACATATCTTGTGTATATGAAGCGAATGAAACAGAGCAAAGTAAAATGATATGCAGGGAAGATGGCTGGGAAGCCAACTCCATTTTAGTCAGACGTTACTCAATATTTATAGTCAGACAAAATAAAGCTACAGACATGTGATTAATGGAATAAGAAGGGCACATACATATACGCTCATATAAAAACAATGAAGACTGACAAGCGAATAATTGATAAGGTCAACATATGACTCAAGTAGAATGAATAGAATGGAATGTCCGAAAGCTAGAATAAGGTATATGGGTTTAAAATAATGACTGACACTACAATATCTTGTTATATCTGTTCAAAGAACACAACACATGATAGAGCTTGTTAAACTCATTTAAACTTTATTGTATTACTACTGGAAACCCTGTTTTTTGCCATGAATTCTTATTCTGCCATTATTATTATTGTAGTCGGACACAGTGATTTCACTTAACGAGTTATGATGATCGTGATATGTTTTCAGTGTAAATTATCGTTTATTGATTCCGTTAAGTTGAGATAAAGATTTAAAATCTATAACCAAACAGAACTGACTCAATCCATTTAAACTTTGAATAATAATGTAGTATGAAATGTGAATTTCGTCTCGCTTGAGACTTCATTTCAGTATTCATGATCAAACTGATTTAAGTGTTAATACGTTATCTTTGACGATACTAAGCTGAAATAACCTCTGAGATGTTTAACGAGTATTCAGTGATCAGTTACAATTTTCAATGTGAAGTTAATTATTAAAAGAAAAATGAAATTCACCAATGAGTTCCTACTTTTCCACGAATTTCGCATCAAACTGTGCAATGGTATGTATTTAATTAGTGTGAGATAAAGTAAATGCATTGAAGAAAGATGATTATGTAATGACAAGATTGTAGTACTAGGTTACCTAATGTGAATACTAAGAATGAGATATTGTATAACGCCTTCAGGTTGTGTGCAAATACAAATTCATGTACAGATTGATACTTAGTTCATTGAAAAGAGAACCCGACTTTGGCCACTCAAAAATATAATAAATGATATTACCTGTCACATTAGATTTGCTTTTATGTATCTGTGGGAATAAGAAAAACACAAAATCATGAAACTTGAAAGTGTTCAAGAAAAGAATGCATGATAGACGTAAGTAAAGATTAACACATTTTGGACATCCGTATAACTACATATAAGATTGTGATAAAGAGGAAAACGGATAGTGGACAACGGTATACCTGACAAATAAATAATAACATTGGCTACACTTCCGATTTAAGACATTCGTTTGCCTTGTGTGATGGTTGTAAAGACAATGAGTATTTGTGGAGAACTGTTCGTCCTATGTTTGTAAATGAATATTACTGAATATCTCAATGGAATAGCCAACTACTGGCTTCTTCTTGACAATGATTATCTAATTAACATCATCATACATCCTAAGCTATGATATTTAAATTCGGTAAAAAGTGTTCTATATTATAAATTATAATTAATAATATCAAATAACTTACAACTGTTCAGTGTTCGTTTCATTCCATGGTATCATAAATCGAAGAGGGAAAATCGAAAAAACAACAATCCATTATTCGTGCATATTTTAACCCATTCATTTCATTATGATGTTAGTTTGATAAGAAAAACTGGTGAGTTCTATAAACTGTCATTTTCATATCCCTATCCGACTTACATGAAGTAGTGTGATATTCTGATAATAATAAAATTGACTATTTTGATAATATAAACGAATTGTTTGTAGTAATCAGCAATGTACTACCCAATGTCAATAAAGACATGTACTATGGTCAACTTATTTTATATACAGCTCAATGAAAGTTCATTACCGAATGTAGCCATTCAACTTTGGTATGTTTAACTAGAATCAGTGAGTAATAATATTTTGTGTCGTACAGATCACTAATGACAAACATTAAAAGTATCATTTTAAAATGGAGATCGATGAGTCAATAAAATTTATCTTCACTTTTCTATGGATAAATAAAGGGAGATTTATATTATTTTTATAGAATATTTTCAGTACTGACACTATAGCAACTATCCTACAACCAATTTCGTTTATGGTTAATTTTAGTTGAGCCCTTTTATTAACTTGCTTAGAAGACAATGTTATTTGAACGGTAACCATTTGCATATTTCTCTGTACCGTTATGATCATTACAGTATATGACAGACTCGAGCTAAAATGTTGATTACTGAAATATCACTCGATGATTCATCATCCCATTATTAGTCCTTGCTTCACCTTGCTGCGCCCTTATGCAATTTGACTAAATTTTTCATACGTAATTGCTCACTTATACCTAATCGCCTCTCCTCTTCAAATTCACTCGATTTGCTTAAAGCTTTGTGATCTGAGCTATCCGCTAATAAACTGTAGTTGCCGCTTCTCACTGCACCGCTGAGATTTATATTATAACGGTTATCGATGCAATCGATTAACAAATCAAAGCCAATACAACACTATTTTCTATATCACTGAAATCTGTTCTTGCAGAGAAAAAGGATATGACTTTATGATAGTGTTTATCAAGTTGAATATGAACTATCCCTCTCAATAATGAACATTTACTGTAAATTTTCATAGAAGTGGTAACTTATTAAATTTGGTTATAATTCAGTTGAAAATTGGGAGGCACTGAATAGTTGTTTTACTCTACTTAATAAACATTCAATATCAGTGTCTTTGTGCAACAACCGCATATAGAATCTAATCAAGTACTTATGGATCTAACTGCAACAATTTAACATTTAAACCATTCAGTCGGCATCGTATGATGTACATCTCCAACTGTTATCAATTCGCGGTATCGTGTTAACCGATTCCTATTATTTGAAGTGAATAACAGTCACTCATCTGATACAATTGAACTAGACTATTCAAGTCTTCTGACTAAAACTTTGTAAACTAAAGCTCGAAATTAGTTAATAAAATGACTATTATTATTATTATTATTATTATTATTATTATTATTATTATTATTATTATTATTATTGTTTATATATTAGTTGTAGTTTAGTGAACGAGAACACAGACGGGAATAACCAATCTCTTAGCAAAATCTGAGAATTATACAGTAAATAATTCATTCGCAAAATATCAATCATTTGTCTCACACTCTGTTATCCTTTCATTTCCATATCAATCACTCTCTATTCTCATTCTTTTCTCTTCGATTTTCACAACTTTCTGCCATTAAGTATTTCACTTTCGATTGATATGACTTACTACTTATATCTGTCGATATCAGTAGTACACACCATAGTAGTATTAGTAGTAATTTAGTAATATAAATAATACTAATAAAATTTCAGTAAATTATCAGTTAATCAATATATTTCTATTACAAATTTACCTAATTCAGATAAACCGAATGCATGTTCATGATAAGTAGTAATAATAACATGTTCATCATCATGTAATCCATTTGTAAAATGATAATTTCTTTCATTAGCAGAAATAATATACATTCGATGAAATCCTGTTGAATCTTTTTTAAATATTATTATTAAATCTTCTGTTGAACAAATTTTATCATTAATTTCCCATATTAAAGAGGTAGATTTATCATCGTTTGTTTCAAATGTACTTCGTCCCAATCTGAAAACTTTGATCAGAATGATCCAGGGAAAAAAATCGATTGAATAACATTTATATATGGTTATATATGGGTATAAGATCCATGGTACAAGAACTGTTCATTTCAAAATATCAAAACATTCATAATATATGTAATTGTAGTTGAACGAGGACAGAAATGGGGTCAATCGATTGTAGCTGAGTACAGAATTACAGAATATCTAAGTAAAATCTGAGAATTATAACATAAATACTTCATTTGCAAAATGTTAATCAGTCATCTTAGACTTCATTGTTCCTTCGTTTACGTAGTAATCAATCTATATTCTTGTTCTTTTTTCTTCAATCTTCTTAAACTTCTACTTCAGGTATTTCACTTTTAATTAATGATATTGTTATAATTTTTTGCCTGTATACCCTCTTAATGTATAACGAGACAATACTGCCAATTAGAGGGCAGTGAATTATCAATCGGACCAATGATGCATAAAACCCGTATGAGCAGTCTACAGTCTTAATCGGTTCTGCTTCCTGCCTAGTCCAGATAGTTAAGTCCAGAATACAAATCTCAACCTCTGCAATATGAATCATTTATTCCAAACAGACTGCGTTTATATACTAACCAACTAGACCATATCGTACCATAAATTAGGAAACAACATTCGTACAAGATTTAACCAAATGTGTCTGTGGATAATGGTAATTGATAGACAAGGCATAACTCAAGAATAGTAAATTGTATAATAATAGTTCATATGTCAAAATAAAGCTTATAATAAGAGGGACATGAATAAGAATAGTTTAGTTACTTAGCAATTATACGATAAGAATATACGTATAGTATTTGTTCATAAATGGATCCCAACAGTTACCATTCGTTATTCTCATCGGGATATAACAGATACATACTACTTATATCTGTGAACATGAGTAGCACACGCTACATAATATCACAGTCTTATCGTGTGAACCGAATCAGTCAACAAAATTTTTTAAGATCTAAGTCGATAGAAACCATCGATACAAATTGTCCTATTTAGGTGCACATCAAAACGATTTGCAAATTCTGATATCATTGACTTCAGTTTATGAAGATGGTTAATTAAAAAAAATGGTCTTTCGAATACATGACATTAATTCTCCATGTTTCGTAATTTGTTTAAAGATTTCAATTCTTATCAGTGGTGAGTGGAATAATTCTAATTACGTTCATAATGTTCAGTTGTATCTATTCGGTTTAAAAATAATCAAACTCACTTCGATTAAAATTTAGTTCCCTTGATTCTTTATCATAATAACCAGCTATCGCATAGCCTACTGATTGCCTTAGAGAGTACTTTTGATTTTTACATGCTGGAGCAACAGTCATTAACATTGCCTCTTCTAGATCATCTGTCATTTGTCGTGAAACATCATCCTCTTGTTCAAGAAATAAAGCACCATAATATCCTCTTTGAAATGGAATCCATTGAAAGTATAAATATTCTTTACGCTCTTGTAGTAACCAGAACGTTGTGCCTTTTGAATTCTCTACAGATATAAACAAAATGGTGCAAGTAAAAATTTATACAGTCTAACGTTACTTTTGAAGACAATGGAATTAGTATACAGAATAGATCTAATGAAAATGTTCATCTATTTCATTACAATTTTTGGATATAATGTTGACAGTCCTATCAGAATACTAATTGTTATTGTAAACTATGTTTACTTGTTAGTATATACCACTTAAATAGACTGTTGACCATATGATATATACATATTATTACAGAATGACAAATATTGTAAACGGGGAATCACAGTTGTTTCATCCTAAAATAAAAGAGTTACAGTGTAATCATGTTGTATATGAGACAATTATCTACGTTACAAAATGGAATCAGAAGGGGATTGTGGAGATTTTTAGAAATTTTCACTGATTGAAATCATGAGTCAGTTGAAGCTAGACCACCATTGAAAATCTGGAAGCACTGGACGGCCGCTTCGTCCTAGTATGGGACTCCTCAACAGTGCGCACCCACGATCCCGCACCACGCGGGGCTCGAACTCAGGACCTACTGGCTTCTCGCGCGAGCACTTAACCATTAGACCACTGAGCCGGCATCCAACGGTGTTAATGTCTAACTCCATCCAATCCACGAAGTTGCGCCACCATACACCACTGTCTTCAGTGAGCTGATATCTCACAACAGACCTGGTTGTACTCCACTGTGAAAATTTCTAAAAATCTCCACAAATCCCTTCTGATAATAATCATTTGCTCACTAGTGAGTGATTTCAAGAGATACTCCTGGAGTTCTAGTGGGAAGCCGTTACCATTGGATGAAACAATAGTCAAGTGTTTCCTGATTTTCAACAGTTATCAAAGAATGATTGATTCGTTAACTTATCATTTCAAATTATACTAACTAATTCATCGTTATGTAAGTGAATTTATTCTATCGAATGAAGCGATCACTTTTTGCTTTCATTTTAGAAGTGTTTTCCAATATATTTCTAATGTATTCGTCACCAAATATGAACACATCATGGAATCATCTATGATAATAAACATGTACAAAGACAACTGATAAAGATAGCTAGCTTGAACAACCTCGACAAAGAATTGCCACTTATGTAACTCAAATTAAAAAACATCGTACTATATAGGTCATGTGGAGTAAAGGTTTGTTCACTATTCAATAGGGAAAAACTTTCAGTCACAATATCTCACTTATACATAAATTTATTCTATGCAAAACAAAATAATTTTCTATAAATTGGTCTTGAGGTGGTTTAGAGATTAAGCGTTCACATGCGAGATCTGAGGTCTTGAGTTTGAGTCGCACGTGCTAGGTCATTGATGTTCACTTTTGAGTAATCCTATACTAGAACAAAACGGCCGTTCAGTGCTTCCAGGTTTTCACTAACAGTCTAGTTTAGATAAACTCATGAATTCAACTCGATATTTTTAAAAATCTAAAATGAACTACTCAAGAATAATAAATAATTTGGATGAATAAAGACACATCCATAATCATTGAAATCCTGTTATGTATACAACTGATCATCAACTAGTCATTTCATTTGCACGCCTTTAAAACATATCGTTGTTTAATTTAAGTACAGAACTTTACGAGTCACTATTGACATATACACATCATGAAAGGATAGCTTCAATGTTTCTTTAAAGCCAGAAAGATTTTTGAGCAATGCTTGATAGTGGTTGGCAATGATATCCAGTGTTATCCAATCTAAGGAATTTCAAATGTGTTTATCAGTATTGGACTGAAGTCCCAATGCAAACATCAACATTGTGATATTTTTCCAGTAGGAAAATGAAAGCTTTATGATTAGGTTATGTATATCGAAGAACGGAACTAGAGAGATATTGCTGTTCATTCAAATATTAAATTATGCTATAATCGGCTTCACTTTACATTATGTGTTTATTTACAAAGATTATATTTCTCCACAGAGATGATGTTATATAAGGAAGCTATTTCCAAATGAATGCTTCATGGAAGTTCGTGTCAAGCATCTTGAAAGGCTAATACAAGACATCAAAAGTAAATGAATTTGTTCACTATCACTTTAAGTTTTATTAATTAGTCCATTTCAACAAACTTGAGAGCATAATCAGTTGATGAGCGAGTACTTTGCAGTTAAGTTTCTTCATTATTCATAAAATAATTATTTGAGAATAAATATATATCTATAAGTTGACTACAATTATAATAGTTGAGGCACACTACACTCTGACTCAATGTGCTGTTTTGTTTTTAGAAAGGGAGGGGAAGGAATCTCAAAAAAATCAATTAGAGTCAAGGCTTCAACTCATCATGATTGACATGTTTCGAAAATTTTGACGAGATTCTCAAACAACCAAAACAAACGCTTAAACGCGAGTAAAATCGATGACACAGTACATGTGATGCCTGAAATCTCAGTTAAACCAAACTAAATGTATTCAACTATCACAAAGAACAATTGATGTCAAGTTCCTCATTCCACTCATATTCATCTCATTTCATTTCCATTACAACTACAGTCAATCATATACGTTTTGCTATCCCATTATCAACAATAATCATAATATATTAATATCTCAAAATGTTCCTCATTAATTGATCAATTAAAAGGACACAAGGAACAGTTGAGATGTTTTCAAATTCAGTAGAATTTAACAGATTTACAAATATGGTCATTTTCATAGTATGACTTACTTGGATCCGCATTACTCGATAGGTACACATTTCCCATGAATCCACTAACTGTCTCCAATATAACTATGGTTATAAAAGAATGAAATAATACATTTCGAATTTGAAAGAAGCCATATTCTAAGATCAGCTGACAAATCACAATTGATATGCATTCTAAGAATTCTAATACAATTCGATCAATCTGTAGTGATTTCATTTGTACAGATTTCACTAATACACTGTATATGTTACGTACTGAAATTGATTGGTCTCATCTTGGCATAGGATAATCTCAATATTCTCATTTGGTCATAAGTATTTCTAAATCACTCTTAATGATGGCTAGTTATGGTATTCAGCATTCATGTCTTGTTCAATTTCATTAATAGTCATCATATAGATGACATGGAAATGAGTTCAAGATTCAGTAGGTGAATCAATATTAGTATTTGGTGAATATTCAGTCAACTTTTACAATCATCATTGATATTATGAGACGTTAAATGTTTGTGAGAGAAAAGTTCTCATGTGACATATTTCAATTTTATAGATTTGATAGAAGTCGTCTATTTGAATTTGATCTTACACAAGAATGAAATGTAATCTGTGACTGATATTGAAAATAACGACTTCATGACGATTATATGTAATCATGATTTCAGCAGATGTCTAGTGGTTGAATGAAATCAACCATAATATCATCACTAATGTGAGTAGATTACACAAAATGTAAATGTAGTAATAGTTCGAATCTAATACAACAACTATTCGTTCATTATAATCCATTTGAACTAACCAGGGATTATAATATTAGCAGAATTCAATGAATTCATTCAATGGGATTAATTTTACTTCATACTACACATCGGCTAATCAGTTTAGATATTTCACATTATTTCAATAATGTTGGATTGGATGAAACCCACATCTTTGATTTCAGTGTTAGCCTCCATTCATTTCTGCTTTCTAAATAAAGGCTTGTAACTCAATAACAATATCAAACCAATTTTCACAGGTTGTAGTATAAGCCAACAATAGACTAATTAATTAGAGTCCTAGACACTAGTGGGAAAATTTAATCAGACAATATAAATATTGAATTAAACATACAAGTTGTTCTGAATACAGTATGAAGCAATAGCGTATAAGTATTTGAATGATTATGTTTTTACTGACATGGTCTAATTGTTATATTCTATTCCGATGAGAATAATGAATGTTGGAATCTATTTCTGGACAAACACTATACGTATATTTTCATCGTATAATTGCCAAGTATCTAAACTTTTCATATTTGTGTTCCTCTTATCATAAGTTTCATTTTGACCTATTACCTGTTATTGTACGATTGACCATTCTTGAGTTCTTGCTCAGTCTATTAATTACTATCTCCCACATCCATAGTCACATTTGGCTAGATCTTGTACAAATGTTCTTTCATATTTTATCCTACGATGTGGTCTGTTTGGTTGGTATATAAACCCAGTCTGTTTGAAATAAATGATTCATATTACAGAGGTTGAGATTTGTATTCTGGACTTAAGAGGCAGGGCTAGGCAGGAAGAATAAGGGCCGATGAAGACTCCAGACTGGTCGCACGGGTTTACACGTGATTGGCCCTGTCGATAAATCACTGTTTTCTGATTGGCGCTATCTTTACGTTATATATTCATAGGAGCACAAACCCACAAGTTATAACTCTAGTCTAATCATCGCATCATCCTTAATTCATAAAATGAATACATATGTAAACAGTCTGTTTTTCTTTTTAAACAACATCTTCATTATGTAATTACAAAGTTTGATTTGGTTATTTCACTTGCCACTGAATCAAGTGATATAGAAATGAAAATGAATTTCTTTTATATCCATTCTAATAATGAATAGTTAACCGAAGGATTTTATTAAAAGAATAATTAAGAATGAAGAACAAAATGATATAATTAAAAAAAGAATGGTTTAACATAGTGATGATCCCATATCGGAAAAGCATTTCAGAAGAGATCAGAAGGATCTTAACTCTTCATAATATAATGGTATTCTTTCGAATAAACAATACTCTAAGATCAAAACTAGTAAGAATCAAAGATCTAATACACAAAGAGGAACAACAGAATTATGTTTATAAAATCAAATGTTGTGACTGTAATGCCACATATGTAGGTGAAACATCAAGACAACTGAATGTGAGGGTGAAGGAATATAAACTATGCTGAAAGCACATTCCTAAATCCTCAGATGATAAAAGAAAACTTGAGAACAAATCAATGATGGCATTACACTCGATAGAATAGGGTCATACATTTGGTTTCAATGGTACAAGAATCCTTCAGAAAGGTTTTAATTCTTACAAATAGAGACTGATAGCCGAAGCCCTACACATATGGACAAATCTAAACAGTAATAATAGGAGGAATGGAATACAGTTAGCTGTCTCATGGCAACTAATAATTAATAAGCAAACATGAACTACTTATTCCATTTTATCTATCTCTTATTATCTGAATAACAGCAACTACATTCAACGTTTCTAATCTGTATATGTCAAATAATTAACTGGAACATTATAAATAACACAAACATTCAGTTACAACCATTGATTGAAATCATCTTTGCTTAAAACGCTTGTGACTTAAGGCTATATCGAGGCAATCCACACAGGATGCACATATGTCAACATGAGATTGAGCAATTACAGTTCTTAATAACAATGGAAAGATACAAGTAAAACAACATCAAGTGAATTTGAAATCACTTAAGTTTACACACACAATCTGTTATCTTAACACTTTTCATTTCACACTACATGTCTTTCACACACTAATGCAACAACCTACTTTAAACGTTGATTAGATGACCTATTCAGAATATAGTGAACCGGAAAACCATATCCCTATTTATATTCGATCATTTTAATATTTGACTATATTTCCTTGAATAAGCTTAGACGAGATTGCCAGACAAAATGTTGGATCTACTTCAAATTCTTTCACTGAGATTTTACAAATACAACATTCTTCCTCTTTAATGTCATACATCTTTTTGGTGGAGTTTTGTTCTCTGAGCTGGATGGTTTGATCGTGGAGCTCTCATCGTTCTTCTGAACGACTTCAGATAGAAGTCTATCTGAAGTTTGTGCTGAGAACAAAACTCCACCAAAATCATCCACCTGAGCTACAAATCTTCTCCACCATCTCAATGTCATACATCAACTTGATGCTCAAATATTGTAAAACTATTCAATCAAATTTAGACGAAGGTTCTTATATAAAATATAAAAGGGTTTTTACATTGAATAATGAAATATTTACACTTACTGTATAAATAAATGATAAATAACCAGTGGATATTATTGAGCTTCATGTTCAATAAGACTCACAAACCAATATGTATCTGTAATATGTGAGAATCACAAGTTTATATATATTAGTTCCTATTTAGCATAAAACTTAAGATCGTTCGATCATCTTCTCATAATTTTAAAGAATTTACTGTTTAGAGATAAAACAATAGGTTACTTTCATAAATATCACCCTACACAATAACTAAAAGTTGTTTTTTTTTTAATGAGTATTCTGTATTGTTATTACTTAGAATAAGACGAGAATGAAGTAGGCTGTTAGGTGAGTAAGTTTTCTTTTTTTATGAAAGGAAAGTGTATGGCCTACACAAAGTTTGTGTTTATGTCTATCATTTTATGCATATGTGGTTTTGCCAGTGAGTACGAATGAATACTCTCTCATGGTATTCAAGCCTACTTTGAAGATTGCTTCGTTCTAGCTCTCATGATAAACTTTTATATTGTATAGGTGAAATAAGGGTAGAAGTTGAATTCAGGGCACACACTTTATTCTCTAATCCTTGTAACAAAATAGTATTATCATATTTGAAGAGAGGCTGATCAAATATAATCTTTAAAATCAATAAGAATATTGAATTAACTATCGCAAATGGAGTGAAATTCCTCCCCCTTTTGCACAAGTCAATGACTGTTTGAATTCAGTAACTGTGTAAGTAACTTGGTGGTATTTGAAAAGAAAGATGCTAGTTTGAAGTCTTGGAGCAAACATGAACTCTAGGATTCGAGTGTATTCATCCAAAGAGTCCTAAATTGGAAGAAACGCTCATGCTGGATTCCACTGCTAGCCATCTTCCAGCTCCGCTTACATACATAGTTATAGCACACTGAACATGAATGCCAAAATAAAGGAAAATAGGTTATTTTATTCTCAATATTATATATTTTACTTTGAAGTGGTTTTTTTATGGTCTTGTTACAACCTATTTGAAAGAAAGAGGATAGCCCATTGAATCAGCAATGCCATCTAGTAGAAAACAACCTTACTAAAATACCGCTGACCAGAAGTATCATTTATACCAAGTGTTGGAAAGATACAGTCGAAATTCTCATGTTGAATGCTTTATAACATATGTTTTGTCAAACTTCCGATGTCAGGAACAAGATGGAAGAGATACAATTGAAGGTTAAGAACAGCGGAATATAAGGGTAATGGAATTTGAAGTGTACTTCCATTGATAACGGTCTCTGAATAATCTGAATGTCAAAACAGAGCACACAAACATCAATATAGGTGACTTCCTACCATCAGTAGACAATACCATCAACGACATCAGACAGGTTTAAGATGCCAAGGTATTAGAGTAAGGCTAGACGGCATACTAGGTAGAGAAAGTGTTATGAACTTGAATCGCTTTTACCCCGTGATATGGCTTCACCTTGATCTGTCTAGTCTAAATTATGACCTTGACGCGTTAGGCTGAGCGGCTTAACCTTGAGTCTAATACGCGTGAGTTCGAGATGGGGTAGAGAGACAACTTTTCTAGAACCTGATTGGTTGGCAAGCACGCACGTGAAAGAAGACAAGACAGTTGGAACACTGAACTCTGGATTCTCTGAATTCGGATTAGTACAAAAATGTACATGAATAAATAAGTGAATATCTTGACCACAACGTATGATAATTTGGAAAAATACAGTTATGCCCGAAACAGGGAATTAGGGTAGAAAATACAGTGCAAAATATTATGTTTAAATTA